TCGGTGGAGAGTTTGGAAGAGGCAAATGAGGAAGTGGGTGAGAAGAGAGTTTTGGAGAAATCGACATCAGTCAAGAGTTTGGGAGTGCAGATGAGGGAGCAGGAGGTGAGTGTGTGTCCACCGCCAATTGAAGTGAGGAATGTGGGCAGTATGACAGCCGGCATAATGTCTACTAGTGTTCAGAAGTTCTTTGAACTCGAAGTCCCGAAGGCCAGAACAAGGGCTATGGAAGAGGAGTCAAAATTGTCAGATAGACGGCGGTCAATGTCGTCCAGCTTGCCAAGCGAGGAGGCAGTGATGGCTGAGAGGAGGCATATCGGAGCACAGACATCTTGGGTATTGGTGAGAAGATTGGAAGTGAAAGAGGAGGACGGTGGAGACAAGTGGAAGTTGGTGAGTGAAGAAGAGGAAGTAGTAGAGGAGAAGCCAAGAAGCCTGGATGCTTTGATGCCCGATGCAGAGCCTGCAGTGATGGATGTGATTGAGGAAATTAAAGTGCAGAAAGTGCAGTCGGCAGGAGTAGATGAAGAAGTAGGAGATGTGAGGGGAGCTATTGATAAACGATTGGACGAAGCTGGATCAAGCGGAGTTGAGCTAGTGTGCACAAGTGTGCAGGCAGTGCTGGCAGCCGAGCGAGTTGACGCGCTTACAGGAGGAATTGGAGCAGAGGATGGCCGCGGGGAGAGACGTAAGGAGACGAGATGTGTTGCAAGAGGGACGATGACAATGTGGATGTTGGCGGGGCAGGAGAAACAAAAGGAGATGTTCATGAGAGGGTCAGAGGATGAGGAGGGAATGGTAGGTGGGAGTCCACCGGAGAGGAGCATAGAATGTAAAGATGAAGGCAGTCAGAAAGATTTGGAGGATGGAAAGAAGGGAGAGGAGAGTGAGTCAGGGCTGGAGAAGGGAGTGTTGAGAGAAGGCGCTGTCATTACGAAGAGAGTGGATCTAGTGAGTACGGCCTCGTTGACAAGTTTCAGTATTGTGAACAGTGAGAGGATGGAGGAGCAGTCAAGGCGGAGGAAGGAGCTGCAGGTTTTGCGACTAGCATCTGTCTGTGTGACTGGAGAGGTAGAGGAAGGTGGAGGTAGAGTGGAGACGAGGAGCGTGGCGATTGATGGTGGAGGTGAGAGTTTGGAGGGAATGGTAGAGAGGGCAGTGAAGGTGGTGCATACAGGCGTGTTGACGAGTGTACGGTGGAATATTCCAGAAGAGAGCAGATGGAGCAGTGACTGGGAGAATATCGAGTGTGCAGCCCTATTGAAGAGGTCAGGGGGAGC